ATTTGTTTATTTTGATTTAAATTTTTTAAAATTTTTCAGAATTTTCGCAATTTTTCGCAAAAAATGGGTCTTGCAAAGAGATTACTTCAAAGCAAAAAGGTGCAATTTTGCATGCCAAAAACTTTGTATTACGCAAGAAAAAACTGCAGAAATTGCTAAGTGTTCTCAGGCAACAATTTCTCAAGTGTTAAAAAATAATTAAACTATTAATAAACGATTGGATCATCCCCAAATAATGACTGTACAAAAATGAAAAAAATTGTCAAAAGCTGTTCTTAATAATAAAGATTCTAGGCGTCAAAGTTTAAAAGAAGTTTGTCAGCTTTTTATAAAACAAAATAAAGGTGAAAAAGTATCCAAGCGAACTATCCAAAAAGCATTAAGAATAGAAGGCATTCGATCATGCATGCCTCGTCCAAAACCATTGATTTTTTCTGCAAATAAAATCAAAAGACTTGCTTTCGCGAAATAGCATAAAAATTAGACAATAGCTGACTGGAGAAAAGTAGTTTGGTCAGATGAATCTACCTTTTCTCAGTTTCAAACCTCAGATTGGGGTTGAGTTTGGTGAAAATCTGAAGAAAAATTTAATGAAGATTATATCACCTCGACCGTAAAACACAGTCCCAAACGAATGTTTTGGAGCTATTTTTCATGGTTTGGTCTCGGACCTATTATTCCATTAATTGGTTCTGTTACTGATAAAACCTATCGTAAAATTCTTGAAACTTATGCTATGCCAACCCTTAAAGAACAATTACAAAAAGCCAAAAAAAAGCTTGTTTTCCAAGAAGACAATGCACCAGTGCATACAGCAAAAATCGTACAAGATTTTCTTCTTTCAAGTAAAGTAGAACGTTTGTCATGGCCACTTCAGAGTCCTGACCTTAATCCTATTGAAGAACTTTGATCAATTGTTGAGTCTGGACTTTGAAAACGTAAATCTAGAGCATCTAACATCCAAGAGTTAGAAAAAATGGTTATTGAAGAATGGAAGTCGATTTCTAAAGAAATATATCAAAAACTTATTAATTCAATACCTTCTCGAATCTATGCAGTTATTTCTGCTAAAGGAGGTTATACTAAATATTAAATATATTATACGAATTTATTGTAGCAAATAAATATAAATAAACATCAAATAAAAATTATTCAATATTTATTTCACCCCCTGTAATATTAGTTTTTCAAGACTCATTTGATAAATAATTTAATATTATATCGCAGGATCAGATTAGATTTCCATTTTCATAAAACTTCAAGTACTGGCAAAATGTTTGATATGTAGCTATTATATATGCTAATATATAATATAAACTAGTTACTGCTGTGTAAGAAGTAATAATATTATAATAGACATTAGCCTTTTTACTAGTGATTATACCACACTAGGAAATCTAAAAAAGCATATCATCATATCTATATATTCATCATGAAAATAGTTTATTGCCTTACCCATTTAGCTAATTTTTTCCTAATACTAAAACTTCAAAGCTTCTTTATTCGCTCAATATTCTCTGAGGGACTTATTCTAAAATTTATTTCAAAATATTTTCAAAATTCTTTACCTTCTTTTTGAGATTGTCTATCTATTCACCTTTCTCTACTCATACAAATAATGCTGTAGAGATTCTAACGATATTAAGAGGCTTTTTTGTTAAAAGGAATTCTTTTATGTTTTAATAGAATAAAAGTTAATATTAGTGTAAAGTTTGCTAGACGAAGTAAAAAAATAATGCATGGTAAATTTCAATACCTTTTCACCATACTGTCTTTTTAAATGTCTTGCATTTTTCATTTACATTCTCTCTAACTCATATTCATGTTGGAAAAAAGAGATAGGAGAAATATGAGAGGTACTTTATGCTAAAATTTTGTGTTTGAGAATAAAGGCATGTGAAATATGCATTGAAGATCTTAACTTTTAGAATGGTATTAAGGACAATGTATATATGAACATTTTTCACATAACTGCTCAGTAATAAAGACCTGGTAATATTATATAAATATACTTTAGTCAAAATTTAGTAGGAATAGGTTGTAGAAATAACCTGTAACTCTGAAGAAATAAACTCATAAATACATGTCCGTTCCTTTAAAAAATATTTTTTTTCAGGATGAAGAAACCAATTCATCATACAGATTGATAAATTAAGAAGTATCATACAAGCAATCACACAGAGTTACAGATAATTTGCGGTATATTACCTATTACATAATATATATTTTAATGAGAATCGAAAATATGCTAATTTATGACGCATATACTTATATGCATTGGTAGTGTTCCACACAGATTCAGATCAATCTGAATCTAATCCAAATCTAATAAATTGGATTCAGTTCAGATTTGTCAAATTCAGATTTAAATTCAGATCTGATCTGTCAGATTCGATTTAGATTCAGATTTGATCTGTCAGATCTGAATTCAACTTTTTTAAAGCTGAAAAGTTCCTTTTTAATGAAAAGTGACAAATTTTCAAACTTCTTTAGAGTCAAAAATTTGTTTCCTTTTATTGAAAAGGAACTAATTTTCAGATTTTTTTAAAAGCTGAAAAGTTCTTTTCATTGAAAGGAAACAAATTTTCAAACACTTTTAGATTCAAAAATTTGTTTCTTTCATTGAAAAGAAATGAATTTTTGGACACTTTTAGATCTGAAAATTTGTTTCTTTCATTGAAAAAAAACAAATTTCAGATTTTTTTTAGAACTGAAAAGTTCTTTTCATTGAAAAGGAACAAATTTTTAGACTTTTTTTGAGCTGAAAAGTTCTATTCATTGAAAAGAAACAAATTTTCAGATTTCTTTTAGAACTATAAAGTTCTTTTCATTGAAAAGAAACAAATTTTCAGACTTTTTAGAATTGAAAAGTTCCTTTTATTGAAAAAAATGAATTTTCAGACTCTTTAGAACTGAAAAGTTCCTTTCATTGAAAAGAAACGAATTTTTTGACCTTCTTTAAAGCTAAAAAATTTTTTTTAATGAAAAGGAATGACTTTTCAGAATTTTTTTAAACCTGAAAAGGTTTCTTTTAATGAAAAGAAACAATTTTTCAGAACTCTTTTAGAGATTAAAAGGTTCTTTTTAATGAAAAGAAATGACTTTTCAGAATTCTTTTAGAGCTAAAAGTTTCTTTTATTGAAAAGGAATGACTTTTCAGAACTCTTTTAAAGTCAAAATGTTTCTTTTATTGAAAAGAAATATTTTCAAATCTCTTTAGACCGAAAATTTGTCTTTTCAATAAAACTTTCAAATTCAGATCAGATCAGATTTGGATTTAAACTGATTTGTTAAATTTGGATTTGAGATTTGATCTGTCAGATTAAGATCAGATCTGAATTTCAACGAATCTGTCAGATTCAGATCAGATTTAAATCCTGAAAAATAAAAATCAGATTGGATCAGATTTGGATAAAATCTAATCTGATCTGATTTTGCAGAACACTATACATTGGCCATAAGACATTTCGCATGGTTAGATAATATATTATTTTATTAATACAATATTCAAGATTTGGATCAAAATTTAATCTGAAAAATTCAGCGTACAAACTCACAATTATCATCTAAGTCTATAAAATTTATGGTAATATCTTTTCTATAAATAAGAGATATATATTTTAACAGCGAATCACATATAAGTTTCATTTCTAATGATTTAATCTTATATACCTTGTATTTTGAAATTCTGATGAAGTATATAAAATTATACTTTTTATAAATACTATAATATTTGGGATTCTGTAATCATTTTAACATGTTAAACCAATATGTATCTCTAATAACTATATAGCTTTGCTGATATAATAATTTCTTAACAAGTATGTATGTTACAAAAGATAATTATTGCTATCATTAGGCTCTCTTCTCATATATCTAACTATTTTTCGCTAAAAAGTAATATTCCTTATACCAAATTTATCCTAAAAGAGTATATCCTTTATTTTTTATATCTGAAAACTTCATATCATCAGGAGTACCATTATTCCTCACCATCTCTCAAATTCGTTTTACTAAAGATTCAGATCTTTTCTTGTAATTCCTATAAGCTCGCTAGATAACTGTTATATAGAAATTTTTAAAGCTACAGAGAGTGGACAAAAGTATTCACATACCTTTTCACTTAATATAAAACTTAAAATATTTTTGCAATAACAATAAAAAGTCAATTAATTTTTTATTTAAAGCTGATTAATATCTACATTTTGTACTAAGTTACTAGTACTTAATTAGGTCACCATTTATCGCAATCACTGCTTGAATTTGTTGTGATATACTATCAACTAGTTTTTGATAGTATGCTTCAGAATTTTCTTCCATGCCTTTTTAACATATCAGTCAAGATTAGTAAGATTAGATAGAGGTTTTTTATAAACTCAGATACTTTTCTTGACTTCAGCCCAAAGATTCTCAATTGGATTAAGATCGAGACTTTGAACTGGCCAAGATAATGTACGAAAATTATTTTTCGCTTGAAAAATCATTGCAGTTATTTCTTTAGTTTTTACCATTTTTTTTTTAGATTTTCAGAGAAAAAAATTTTATTAAAAAAAAAATTTGTTATTCTTTTATTTTTATAATATAAGTAAACACTTAAGTGTCATGTAAACACAATTTGTTATTGTTAAAGATGATCACTGCAATTGAAAAAAATGGCGCAATTGAGTTGCAACTTGTGGCACAATTAAATTTTCTTATGGCGCAATTAAGTTGCAACTCAATTGAAATTTGAAAATAATTATGGGGACCATCTTTAGTTATTGTAATCATATGACTTTACTAACATTAATTTACATTTATGGAGGTGTATGAATACTTTTGTCACCCTCTGTATATTGATAGTAGTATTTAGAAATTAAGAATTCCCAAGATCACTTCATTGATTTTCTTAAATTTCTCAAAAAATAGATTAGAGGATCTAACCAAGAATAGGTAGATCATATATAGCGTCTTTAGCCAATTTTTTCCTACCCGTATAAACCTGCAGATAGTATATTACAATATTACACTAGGCGATCACTGTCTTGATTGAATTGCGAAAAAAAGTAAATATAGTTAAAGTTGTTAATATTCAGTTAAAAGATATTAAGTCTATCTCCTTTCTTGCATTTTTTTGTACGGAAGCCCAGTATTTATCAACATTAATGAAGTTAGACATACTTGCACTATATTGCATAGGGTATCTCTCAAGATAAGCCATTAATGCAACAGGCTTTGGTGACAAAGGAGGAAGAGTCAATGAACATGACTCATTCCAAAACTTACTAATCAAACTAGATGTGAAGTCTTTAGTTTTCATAAGCTTGATTGGCATGGTATTTTTGGACTTGCTAGGCATGGTATAGTTGCATTGTATTTTATTTTTTACTATGGTCAATCTATCAGATAATTGGGATTTCTTATACTTTGAATAGCTTATATAATCATAAAACTGATCTTGTGAAATATTATAAGGTCTATATCCTCTATCAATAGTATACCAGATATCCAAGTTTACAGTGCAACGAGTTTCTCTACCAGGCATGTTTAGAAACTTCTTTTCCCTAGGAGTATTATCCTTTCTAACTGCTTCCCAAACTTGTTTTGCTAATGAAACAGGTCTCTTCCTGTAATTTCGATAAGCTCTTTGGATAAGGCGTGCGCTTTCATTCTCAGTTTTAGCTTTGGAGCATTCATTATTCCAATGATATTGCAACAAGTCCTCACATTTAACCTCATACCCATATCCGCGCCATCCACTGAAATATGTCTTTTTTTGGTTTTACATCAGTGATCTTTACCAATTTCCAGCAATTGAAGCAAATAGCCATTTGACTTTTATGGATCCTGGGCCTGTAGATCCATCATCTGTCACCTTACCTTCTCCAAATCCCGCATAAAGGCAGTGCACATGATAAACACTCCAATATTTCTCAGCTAACAGTGTTTGCACAGTACCTCTTACTCGAACAGCCCATTGCTGTGGAGTTTCATGCGATCTAATAATGGATAAATCATCATATAGTTTTTCTGTTTTGATTATTTTTTCAATATCAGTACCATATCTATAATTTCTCATATATGCGCTAATATACCTCATATCATATCCAGGTCGATTATTAACGGGTTTAGGTACAACCTTATTAAATTTCTTATTTAAATGATATTGACGCTGAATCCTGACATAATTATTAATGTTGTATAGCAAATTACCGATTTATAGTGAATTTAACGATTATAGCTGATTTAGCAAGATTATACTCTACTAAATCCGAATTCATTTTTATTTAGCTGGGAATGGGGGGTATATGCGGGTTATTGTTCATTTACCCGCTAATTTTATATCTACAGATTAATTTGCAGATCTCTCGTAATTTATGAAGTTATCGTATTATAGTTAAAATCATATGAGCTTACACGCTAATAAAATTTTTTATTGATAATACATAACGCAATTTACATTTATTATAATAGCAAAGTAAATAATTTTTTTTTGTTACTATCTATATTGAATCAATCACTCATGATAGTCCGGCTCAATGTAATTGATAAAAATATTAATTATTTAAGAATTTCGACATCACGTGATACATCACTATACTGATATTACCATTAAAAGATATCGTACAGGCTCAACACAAATCCGGGAAGAACTTGTGAGGCAATCCGGGTAGCTCGGGTGCAACTATGATGTTCATGACAAGTGATTGTATTTGTTGTTAAATCTCTGGTGTAGACTTTTATTATATTCGTGAAAGGATCAATTGATATTCCTTTCTAGATAAATGTTGATAATATTTAATTAGCAGATTAGCAAAATAGCCACCAGAAATTAGTCTACTTACATCAACTCCTCCAATCATCCAATTCAGCATTTTCTCATGCACGTCTGAAGCTGAGTCACTATCAGATCGTAACTCTATCACAAAGTTTGGAGCGACTTGTGGGAAATCGGGTTCTCCAGGTTGTAAGGGTGGCATATTGGGTATGTTGGCTATGTAATTATTCCACCTACAATAATAAATTAAGGAATAAATAGAAATCGAATAAATGGTGCAAAAACATGCAAACTGTTTATATTTGATCATATTAAACCTTTGGGTGGGACAATAGACGCATCAGGACCCAAGATGTTAGTTCCACCGGCACCATCAGGCACTTTATAGGCTCCCTACAATCAACAAAAAATAATTTAAAAAAATAATACTATTAAACATAAAAAGGAGTCAGCTGTCAGCATAATGCTTGTGTGATATACCGATGGTCCACCATAATGTCCAACAAGGTGTCTATTAACAACACGCCAATTGCGAACCTGCCCAACAATTTCTGCTTCTCTTTCATCTAAATAATAATTTTTTAGTTGCTTTAGCATGGCACTTCAATTGCAAACAGTGGTTTAGAAAGTTAAATACCAGTATGTGCCAGTACTGGAATTATCTCCAATTTACCCCGAATAAGATTTAATTTGATGTGCGGATTTGAGTTCGCAATTTTGTTATACAGCTCTTCGCTACAGTTGGGAACAATAAACTTTGTGGCGTTTTTTTCCAAGAACTCTTGCCTAAAGTCAATAATCTTTTCGGTCTCAGCTTTTTCAAGAATAATCTCTTTGTAGGAAGCCATGTTTGATAAATGAAATAAAATGTTAGAGGATTTAGTAAATTTAGTCATGGTTTAAATTAAGTCACGCTTCATCATCTCAGATTGATTGATAGATAAAACCGATCAAATTGTTCCGTCCATACACGGAAATAGTCAAATAGATCAAAATTATAAAAAGTGGCGCTAGCGAATGAAATGTATGACGCTTCAAAGAGGGTGGATCTTAGGCCATTTCGAAGAAATATTTTTTTTGACTTTAAATGGCAATATACATGAAACAAGAATACACGTTTAAAAATTCAAAGTAAAGAACTTTATTAAATTTTTGAATGATATGAAAAAAGCCAGCTGGCTATGTAAAATAAAAAAGAAGCGGATAGCAGGTGTTTCAAGGGAGGAATCACTCGAGCCCTAACCCTTAAAATGAGAATTCCTTCCTGCTACTCCGCATTGCTATCTAAGTTATTATTGAGTTTGCTATCTAAATATAAACCAAAGTACTAATGTACCAATCTTTTTTCTTGATATTTCTCTCATAAAATCCTTGAACTGTGACTTTCTTAATATTCCCACCTACTGTAATTCACAAATTTCAATTGCTATATGAAGACACATCTCTTCTAGTTATTCAATCGAAATTTTCTTGAATTGGGTCCAGATAGTTAAGCTAATACCTTTGAATGTTATTGATTTAACCCTGCAAGAAAATTATATTAGTTAGATATTAATAAAAAGCATTAAGATATCAATAGACTGATTTTTTTTATTACCAGAAGAAGAGTTGACATGTGAACAGCTTGAAGCTTCAGATTGATTTGCCATTTCATTTTAAAGAGCTTTGATAAAGCTATTGAATTCAGATTTCTGCCAAATTCATTACAGCAGGCTTCTTCAAAACTATTTAGTCTTGTGATTAATCTTGTGGTCACATTATTGATCATTGATAAAATTTTTTACGTCTCAAAGACGTAGCCAGCATCACGTGATTTGTTTTTTTTTGATTTCCATGGTAAAATTGAAATAAATTTCATTCTTAATTTTTCTGATCTCTGCAGTGGATTTATCACTAATTTCTGATACATATAAGGAAAGTTTATTAGCGACTTTAGTATTAATTTCTGCACTAATTTCATGTATTAATAATTTTGGTGACACGTGCAGAGAGTTCATCAGAAATTTTTAGTTTGAGATTTAACTACATAGTGACAATCCCAACAAATATCACTAGACCAATGAACAAAAAATAGCAGTTAAGGTCAAAAAAAGACATGACTTCTGAAGAATTGAGCAATAACAAACTGGATATGATTAGGTGTAGTAATTTTATTAAGGTTTATTTTATACTGTATACTTACTACATGCGAAAAGAGAATTTAATCCAATTTAATAAAAGTTATGTTGCTTTATTGTGTGTATTTATCATAATTATATTTTTCATAATTACGTTGCTCGTAAATGTTTAATTGTTGAAATAATAATACATGATGCGTTAACAATGTGAAATCAGCATTATGAATACTAATAAAGTATCAGAGAATTTGCTATTTATTGCTAAGATCATCTGTTGATTTGCAGAAGATTAGCTTATCCTACTAGTATTTCTTTTTTCGAATTAATGAGAAAAAAGGTGACCCCTATTCATGTTCTATAGAAATCTACTAATAATCATAAATGAAAATTTGTTCTATTATGTAGAATGTAACTATAAACATACTATCTTATATTTCATAGGATCAAGATCTATAAATCAGTAGATTAAGAGACATAATTTCCATTCTTATTCCATTCTAACAACAGGGATATTGGATTAACTTATGTGATACTAATTCAAAGATGTATTATACCAAAACCTTCTGAAAAAAAAGTCAAACATTATCACTAGATTAATTATTTATTGATCTAGTCCTATAATTTACTTCTCCATAGATTTGCAAAAATATGATGGTATTTTATGAGATCTTAGTCCTGACTTTATTGTTAAAAAAATAGCATATATTAACCATTATTACAAAAATAGCATATCTAGATCTAAAAATAGGATCACTACAGAAATATATAAATTTTTTGTTCAGGTAATCATACCTTTATTCACTGTGGAGAAGTATAGTAATGATATACTTACTTACTACGCATGATATATACTCAACTAAACCACTCACGTGATTTAAAAAAAGAAATATACAATTTTACATAATTCAGTAATTGATTCATCCAATAATTCTTTTAGATGGTTACTGAAAAGATAATAGGATACATCATTGGGAAGGATTTCCTTTTATATCCTTTATTACAATAATAATAACCTCTATTATGTTCACTATATTCATTATATCTACTGTATTTACTATACCTATCATCATCTGAATTATCTGGCATCTCATCTTCAGAATTACTATTGGTATCAAAGTCATCATTATATGAATTAGAGTTTTTATCATATATATTATCTGATCCTGATCAGAGATGCTAAAGCAAAGGGACTTTTTCATTTCTTTCTTCTTTTAACTTCTCAAAATATACATTATCAGCTGAAGAAACAGTATTCACTTTAGTGAGATTCTTCTTATTAAAAAACATATCTTCATTAAATTACACCTCTTCCTTGAAATTATCAGAAGAATTAAAAACATAGGCTAATAGAATAGGTGCAGTTGGAATGCTTACCTCAGCTGAAATTGCTTTTGATGTATTAGCCTTTTTAAAATCATTTATAATACCCTAGATCTAATTAACAGGTAAACTCAAAATCACACTTGCATTATAAGTGACTGCTTGGATTTTATCTATTCTTATTTCTGTAAATAGCAAGTAAATTCTTTTGATTTTAAATTTTTTTAACGCAAGTTTACATCAGTAATGTCAGGAAGAAGGGCCTTGATTTCGTTATATACCAATATCTTTGCTGATTAGTTATTAATATTATTTATAGACTTGATATCTCTAACTCAATCTTCATATGCTTTATAGAAGCAATACCAGCATAAAATCTCCTTTTGTCTGACTTTGATTATTATTCTAAATAGATCAACTATTTTTAAGCTATAATTTCACTAGATCCTGTTAGAATTGTTTCTAAGAAGACTTCAGAAATCTGAATATTAAATGTTTTATCTTTACTTTGTAAAGTAGATCCCTTACTTTCTATATAATTAGATAACTTGTGTTTCAAATCTTATTCTACTTTCTGTTTGATAAAATCAAAAGAAGTTACAACTATTTCTGAATTCAGGTTTACTTTGTGAACAGCTACCTTTGGTAACGAATCATTTTGAAGTTTTTTCTCTCGCTTTCTTTTCCTGATCTTATCACCAACTTTCTTCTTATATATTACATTTAAGAATTCATCAGTTTTTCTATCCTCTTCATAGATTGAAGGGTTAGCAGGCACAGTTACCTCTGGTACTATAATGGTAAGCAAAAGAAACGCAATTACTATTGGTTTCCTTTAAAAGCTTATAACAGGTTAACTATAGGGGTTAAATCATAATTTTATATTTACTTTAAAGCCCAAATCTTGAAGAATAACCTGATATAATTTTTTTTTTTTACTATTAATGTGCGCTAGCTAGAGAGTTAATAGAGGGCATATCCTAAGTAGGACAAGTTTGATCCTGCGTTAAGTAACCTCTTAAAGTCTCTGATCCTGATTAAGGGGTACAGCAATCCGCTTAGAAGCACATCCCCGTACGGTTGCCATCTAATATAGACCACTTTGTAACAAGTTATTCCTGTATCACAAAGCTCACTAGACTTTATTGGATACCATCACCTTTGGATAGAGGGCTCACTTCAACCATAGAGCTTGTCAGGTCCTATTTTTACCAATTTAATTTATAGGATTTTATCCTATTGATAACTACCGAGACCGTGGGATTGGGTCCTTTATATAGATGGTGGTTTTGTACCCATAGCGTCAAATTCACCTGAGAATTGAACCCAGCCTCTAACCCTAGTGATGATTTGATTTGGAAGGTACTGCGGCATGCAATGCAGTCTATTATTACCTTAGGCACTTTCGCCTCCTTTGCGGTGAACCCAAATTTACTAATTACTGGTTAATCACTTCCTTACTTGTGTAAGGGCCCCTGAATTTGAAGACGTGAGACAGTATCCATTACAGACCTGTCAGCGAAGACCAAGTTTTTGTTGATCCCTGGTTTCATTTGCATTCATGAATAACCTGATATAAATTTAATATCTAGTTAATAGTGCCAAATTTGAATAATTTAATAATTTACATCAGAATTTCTTACTTAATAGACTTTGAGTATAAAAAATTTTTTTGGTAGGCTTACTACTATAAAACTAATACCGAATTCGGATTTCTCATTCTAACAAGCTAAATTTTATCTAGATCAGACCTGTAAATCACGAGAAAATTGCCAATCAAAGATCGCTTGACACTACATAAAAAATTAGATTATATAATGTCAGGCGATCTTTGATCAGCAATTTTCTCATGATCTACAGGTCCAATCTAGACGAAATTTAGCTTGTTAGAATTGTCGCACTGCGGAAAATCTGAATCTGGTGTTAGTTTTATAATAGCGAACCTACAAAAAAAGTTTCTATGCTCAAAGTCTATTAAGTAAAAAATTCTGATGTAAATCATTAAATTACCCAAATTTAGTACTATTAACTGAATATTAAATTTATATCAGGTTATTCTTCAAGATTTAGACTTTAAAATAAATATAAAATTATAATTTTAGCTCCCATTGTTAACCTGTTATAAGCTTTTAAAGGAAACTAATAGTAGTTGCGTTTCTTTTGCTCGTCACTGTATAATATTTATTTTACTATTAGATCTATACTACTTGAGCTGATTTATAACTAAGACAGGTAAATTGACATATTCTTCAGAAATCAATTCATTTATTTTCTTATCTGATATCTTTGGTATTTCTTCCAGTAACTGGATGTCAACATTATTTTGCTAGTCCACTATAGAGTCAGATACATCAACAACTAATACTGAATTATCTATAGATAATTGCACTTCTGCTTTTACTTCCTTATCATTCTATAACTATTCAGTTACTTCAGTAATACTCTGTTTCAATATTGCAAATCTAACTTCAAGTTCTCTGACTCTAGACTTGAGTTCAGTATTCTCAGCATTATACTTGGCATCTTTCTCTATAATTTACTTTAAAAGTTCAACTTTTTCAGCCTCAAACTTGATATTCTTAGCTTCAAGCTCGCTAATGCATTGTTTTAATAATTCAAGCTCTAATGACATGATCTATATAACTAATATACTACATATGAATATTTAAAATAAAAAAATCACGTGTGTGTTACAATTTGTAATACTGATCATTTAACTAAGAAAAAATTTTTATTATTATATGCAAAAAATAAATACAAAAATTGGAATATTATCTGTGATACATGAAGTTTCTATACTACTATTTAACCTTACAGTCTAACTAACCACCTTACATTTATGTGATTTAAAAAATTGTCTAGCATTCTTTATGAAATATTTATAAAATACATGTTTATTAATTATAAGAAATTAAAATTACAAAATCGCAATATGGGAATTTGTGAAATAATAGATTCTTACATATATATCTATCTAGCAATTGAAATAATTTGAGCTGTTCCTCCTCAAAAAGCTTTCTCTTTTTTTTTGTGTCTACCTGACTTGTCATCCTAAAGTTAATTAGATAGATGCTGTCATTATCATTAATTAAATTATTTTTCTTCTGAATGTCATTATAAAGAATGCTATGCTTGTGAATCGCTTCTAATCCTTTAATAGCTATTGTCTTTTACTATTTTTTTATTTTTTGCTTGTTCAACGAAGTGCTAACAATGGTCATACCTATAATGAAACTCATACCTCCTCTATAATATTTATAACAGACCAGTTTTGAGATATACTTACCTTGAATATCGGCTAGGTCTTTATAAATCTCGACTTCTTTTTGCATTTCTTTCAGAATATACAGTGGGACCTTTAATAAGTTTACGCTTTTCAAAGCAATTGTTTCATTATAAAATTCATATAGAAGCATTTTTCTACTTCATTCTTTACCTAGTTTATCTTAAAACTTAAAGTCTATGAAGCTAAATTTTTTCTGATCTACAGGGGGGTTATTAAAAGTGCCAAAGGCAGAAGATGATTGTTGATTCGTAGAGGTACTGGAAGTCTGATTATTTAATAAAAAACTAAAAGATAATTTTGAATAAGATCAAAGAGTATGTGAATTATTGTCTTTTTGAGCTGACACTAATACTTGAGGTTTAGGAGAGTTGGGATTCTCTTTTGTCCGTTAAGTTAGATATATATATACCTTGAGAACTGGTAGAGATTCAAACTAAAGTGAGAGAATTTTTGAGATTGAGAGCTCTGTATACTCTCAACATAGAAACCAGTAATTATCATCTAAATTCATTTCTTACTATATAATTATAGATTTGTTGAATTACATCTTTACCCTTACTCATATTATAAAACTCGAGAAATGTTTATTTGCCTATATCTTCTAAAACATGCTTTCTTTTTATTTCAATCACCAAAATCAATAAGCTCACAAAATGACAGGTAAAATCTGATATGCCAGGAGTGTCAGTAGATCGTTTTGAAAATTTATATTCTAATCATATAAGCCTATTTAATATTATACAAATATTAATGTTAATAGCAACATGAACATTTTCTTAATTTTCTACTTTTTTATCTGGAATAAATTGTGACCTCTTGAATTTAGGTTATTGGTTGAAGCAGAATTGATTCACTTTATTGAAAAAGTTACCCTAAAGTTGTACACTTGCCAGCAGATCACTATTTACTTTATAGTAATTTTTAATTTAACACATTTTGAAGAATATATTATAGGTGGTAGAATATATAACAATATCTCTTCCAAGCTAAAAACTGAAAATAAATGCGTATTAATATTATGAGAGAGTATTAAGCTTAAAAAAAAATGATAAAAAATTAGCTATTAAGGTGTTTTGCCCAGACTGTATCAGATACTTATATGGTAATTTTACAATAATATGAATATGTCTTTTAAGCAGTTTCTCAGGCCAGTACTCTTCTATATCTCTTGTTGCAAGAAGTTTATCTTATAGTATAAGATTACTTAAGAGATCATCATGATCATTGAAGATCATCATCTTCCATAGCTTGAGCTTGTCTGCAAGAAAATTATCAAACTTTAATGCTTTTTTCACCTTAATAGCGCTCTTGAAGTGGCTAATCAACTTTTCCCTATCAATATCTACAGTAAAAGCACTAGTAGTTGTATTTCTTTTGACGAGATATAGTAAAGTAATAGGCATATTTTCAGTTTATATAATATTTTTTGCGAAATATTATTAGCTCAAAGTACGGTATATGAAGACAAGATTTAAAAGAATTTTATTTATGAAAAAAATACTATACAGTATATGAGAAATTATTCTGTTTTACAAATCTGCTATATAATCAGCCACATTGCATTATAAGTGTAATAATCGCCTAATCACTGCATCTCACTAACTGTGAAGATTCTTCTCACTTATTATTTGACATTTTTTATATAGGCTAGATTAATTTAGATAAAAATGTTAGATTTATAGTCTTGCCTGAACTGTACTGTTACACGTGATCTATTTCTTATATACAATACAATAATAATACTTTATTTATAAAATAAAACGTTATCAGAGCCTAGTTTATAATACATAAAAATTGTGAATATTTCGCTTTACATGATATGAATAAAAAATACTATTTTATAATAAAAGTATCTTCTAAATTTACTCTTGCTTTTCAATTATCTGTTACCAAAGATAATAATAATAAGAACAACGCTCAATAAATTTTAGTTATAATAATATGCAAAGTGCCTTTTGGTTAAATTACTCATACAGCTTCTTAATGTAGTCCTTAAGCTTTAATGCTGGCCTTAATCCCATTCTGAATTCTCTAAATTCCTGTCTGGTTAACTTGAGAAATAAATAACCAGTAATATTTTTTCTTTCAAGTTTCGTAAAAAAGCCATTATCAAGTTCTATATGATTTAATTCAGAATCTTTTTGCAAAAAATTGATAAGTCTTTCTATTTCATATTCTTCTAATCTCTCAGCTATAGTAGAGCTGGAAGACATCTTGCTTTCCTAAATACAAGGTCTATAATAAGAAAACTTACTCCTATACATATATAATTTAAGGCATATACATATCTTATTTTGCGTTATTTTCTTTGATATAGTTTTTTGCAAAAAGTTAACTGAACTTTCACATATTCTTACATGCTTTATATAATACTAGGAAAAAGGTAAAAAGTAATTAGTATTATCATATGATATCAAGAATTCCTTAAAAACACATACAAATGGAATCTTCATATTTTCATATGTAGATCTACTTGCAAAACATATAGTTGATTTTATGCCTAACGATTTTGAAATTCTAAAGTCCTCAACTTTTTATAATATGTATTTTTATCAGCACTATTTGTTTTTAAGGTAAGTCCTGTGTTGCATGTAGACTTCCTTTTACATTTTTCTCATATTTTTTTGAGAAAAAAATAGAGATACTGGTTAGTATATATATTTTCTTTTCGTTATATGCAAAAAAATAATGTTTTACAGACCGACTGTGTGATTGGCTATTATATTATTGCATAGAAATCTATGATTCAGCAAATTTTTCTGGGCTGAAGAGGCCAGATCACTGCTCTGGTTGATAATCAATATTTCAGATACAAATTTGAATATATGTTAACTAGAGATAAATATAATCATGACAAGTAATATTAATAATAAATTTGTTTAAAATGAAATATTTAAAAATCAACTATATAAAGTGTTTTTATATAAAAAGATAGATATATTAGCTATTCAGGAGCGTTTAGCTAAAAGAAAACTTAGTAATAATGACAATGTAAACTAAACAGTATTGAATCAAAACAAGAAAGCAGAAACAATTAATTATACAAGTAGACTATTGTTTAATTTGGTAGAGAAAATTATATTGATAGAGGAGAATCTTGAGATTGGTGACTACCTAACTCTTAATACATTATATTGATATAGAGAAGATTTTATTAATAGATTATTAGGGAATTTTTACTTAGAGAAAAATACCTCTAAAAGAGGATATAAGTATTATTTAACATTATCTTGGTATTATTGATTATACTGATAAAGAAATAATAAAAGAAGAAGCTGAAAAAGATGTGAGAGCTATTTAAAAGTTTAGATATTCCAAATATAGTAATACAAAAATTTATCAATAAGGGTAAAATGCTAATCTATATTTTTTGTTATATAGAGTATAATCTAGTAAAAAAAATCTAATTAATGATCATACTTCGTACATCTCAGCCTACTTTAGACTATTAATCTAGCCTATATATTTAGATCTAAAAGTCACTGAAAGTATTAATCTAAAAATCACTTATTAGCAACGTTAGGCTGTATAAGATAATTTCTAACTAATTCAATAAAATCAGAAATGCTGAAAATTCCAAGAAATTTTCAACATAAATATTTGGGTTAAGTGAAATAAGCAGATCTATGATTTCTTCGCTAATATAAAGGGTTATCAAAAGTTTACAAATGCTATTTTTGAAACACAATTGATATATATAAAAGGTAATGTTTACATATATTTATGTTTATTTATTTGTTTATTTTGCTTTAAATAACATTTTAACTTCAAATTTTTCTTTTCACATTTTTTTGCAACTTAGAGCTACAACTATAACAATAGAAAAAAATAACGAATTAACTGTGAAGCAACGAGATGCAAAAATTTTTTGTCATAAAAATGGTAATTCATATAGTAAAATTGCAGAACTGTTGGATATGGCAAAACAGCAGTATATGACACATTGAAAAGGCATGCTAAAACTGGTTCTACCCACCCTTGCTGATCTTGAAAGGAATGTTAAAAATGCATAAAAATCAATTTTAAAATGTGTAATTGAAAATTTAGTCAATAGGTATGCTAGCATGAATTCAGGCGATGATTATGGCAAAAGGTAGCCAATTAAATACTAGTTTAATAATATAATATGTAGCCTTTAATACCTATAAAATAAAGTTATAATATAGATTTTTTATTGAGTTTTAAAAATAAAATGTTTTATATTGCATAAAAAATCATTCAGAAATTTTTGATAACTCTCTATATAATAATACCCTTCTATATCTAGATACTTTAAATTAAGATATGATTTAGCAATTTCTTTGATAATTATATTAGTAATTATATAATAATTAAGGTTAAAATGCTAGAGCCTTAAGTAAGAATGAATAATATTACAAATTAATATTTCAGAAAACTCTTTGCAAATAGAAATATTTAGATATTCTAATTTGTGATATAATTATATGATTGCAGATAAACTTATATTATTTTCTAATTCAATGCTTCTAGGTAAAGTAGATATATTAAGATATTTCAAATTTGAATATAATTCGCTATTAGATTTAGAACTTTACCAGTACAGTCTATACTTTCTTTAAAATCTAAATGAATTATATTTGAAAATGTATGTACAATACCTTTGATTTTTTTATTTGAAAGTGAACAATAATGTATTATTTTAAGATGAATTAGTTTCAAGCTATAAACTGGCTTTCTTCTTCCTCTGGATACTATTTTTAAAAATCTTTTTAATTGAGTTCGATCCTTTACTTCATCTCCTCTTAACTTGATATGTCTCTATAAATGGAAGCATCACATTTGTACTATAATCAGAAAATAAATAGGGTAAAATAGAAAGATTTATCTATTACTAAAAAAATGTAAAATCTGTTCTAGTAGTTCTGCTATATTAAAAATACTTGATTGCGTCATGAATAATATATGCTGTATCTTTAAACAAAAAATAAAATTACACTATTATGCAAAGCATCTTCAGCTTACTTCAGATTGTAATTCTCATTTACTTTTTTAAATGGAATCGTAAAATTATCATTTAATAATAATTTTAAATTGCATATATTCAAAGTTACACCATTTTCTTAAAACTATAGTATTTCTAATACTAAGTCAGGAAAATAATCAGACCAA